TTAGTCCTGTGAAAACTTAAAGAAATTTTTTTTTTAATCATTCAGGTACAGCCAACAAAAGTCAGCAAGAAGCATTTCAAAGGAAGAGCTGAGGTAAATCTAAGAAAGATTCTCTGAGGTCAAGGCAAGGGTGAAGCCTAAAGGTAAACATGAGGAAGAACTTCCTGGCAGTTCTTCAGCACCCCAGGAACACATGCCCTCTCCTTAGTTGGAAGTTTATTTAAAATGGGTGAAGTTTATATTTCATGGCCATATGAGTACAGGTCATTGTAGAGGTAGGTGTTCTTCCAGAAAATCCACCGGGCTCAGTGATACCAAAACCTCAGCCATAGGTCCTGACTACCTCGAGGTTTGAACCCAGTATAATTTATACATTGGGCTTTTACGTCCCATGTGCACAAAGTGGTCAGAGCTGGAATGGCCTAAGAGGTTACCTGGCCACTCATCACTAAGAGAGCAATTCGTGAGCTAAGTTTAGAGAGGCTGCTTCTCTCCCACGCTGATTGAATTTCACCACGTTCACCACGTACTCTCAATTAAAATAGAAACATACGGGGCCTCCCTGGTGGCACAGAGGATTAAGCACCGCACTATGAAGCTGTCCGCAGCCTCTGCAGCACAAGTTCCATGCCCAGCCGGCCAGAGAGAAACCCACATGGCGAGGCAGATCTCTCCTGTCTCGCCCACTGCTCTCCTCAGCAGTGTGCTTTGGTCAGTCTTCCTGTTCTGTTCCCCACTTTGTCTCTGGTGAGTCTTCTCACCCCCCTGCATTTCTGGCCTGTACCCCAGCTTTCGTAGTATAAATAAATAAATATTAAAATAAATAAATAAAATAAAATAAAATAGAAACATACATTGCAGCACCAGGAGTGAAAATGAAGTGAGTATGAAAAACAAAAGCAGACACCCATCTCACAAGAACCCCCTCACACTATAGTCACAGCCTTTACCCGGTAGCTACTCTCTGCCTGGCCCAGGGGGAGGTGCTCCCCAGGGAGAGGGAAGAGGGAGACAAAGGTGAAACTACAGAGTTCTTGCTCTCTGAGCTTATCTCCCTGGTTGACAACGTAATAAACAAACATGGAAAAAATAGTATTGCCAGAATCAAACACAAGTTCGGGGCAACAACAGAGGGTTTACAGGAGGGCCCTTCAGGACTGGTTGCCCTATAAAGAAACAGAATGACAGAGAGCAGGCTCAGAAGCAGAGGGTCTAAGGGGACTGGGCCAGAGAAGGTCTCCTCAAAGTAGGCGGGGCTGGAGCAGGCCCTAGGGGGTGGATGAGATTTTCAGAGTAACAGGCGGTGATGTTGCCGATCCATAGAAGCCCACTGCGCCTGGAACAGGGCTGACTTCTGGCTTCCGTCCCCTGGAAGAGCTGCTGCTCAACATTCTAAATTTATCTGTGGGAGTTAATCACAGGGAGATAATCATCCCTGAAGAATGTCTGCATTTGCCTGACACTGGCCACCCCAACGCCACCCACCTGGACCATCACCTAAACTCACTACTTTTTCCTCGGCAGTTCTTGTGTGTGTGTGTCTGCACGTGTGTGTGCACAAGCATGTGCACACTCACGCCTGCTTTGTCATTGGTATGTCCACTCCACCCGGGACATGGCTCCATCTATAATCCTTAAAGCTTACTTTTTAGCTTCTGGGCATCCGTTGCAATTATAATGCTGTCATAAGCAGAAAAAAGATAGGCTAATTAATCATTGTCAATACTGGTCCCTATTTGCCAGATGAGGTTTTTGAACAGCATAGTTGGGAATAATTTGCATCAGCTTGTATTTCCCTGTTTTATGTCATTAAAAAGATTTATTTGGCATTGTGGTCACTGTACATAAATATCAAAGCAATGAGGTATAAATATGGAAGCTCTGGGGTATAACTGAACGGCGGAGATTCACTCATTTGCATTCAGCAAATTGTGTACACAGAACTGCATGGAACTCAGAATATTGGGCTTATCAGGGGCCTTTAACAGCTTCCAGAGTTACCTGAACTTGGCCAGAAGCCTTCTGGCACCTGCCGATAAAGAGTGCACAGTTTCACTTCTGGAGGCTGAACTGGAATATTCACCATTATCTCACTCCTTGAAATTCCTGCAGTCACGTGACTTTCTAATGGGTCCCCAGACCTCTGTGATTACTCAGACTGATAGTTCACCTGTCAGACATTGTATTCATGTGCCTATAAGTCACAGCCACTAACTGAGATTAATCTTTGTGACATCAGGATGTGCCCTGACTAGAATCACAAGGCTGGCCAGAAAGAACATTCCTTTGGAAAGCACAGTGATTCCCAATACCCAGAAATGTTAGGAATCTTCACAGACAGCTGGACGCTCCCTCAAAGCTGGCATAGCCCTTTCCAAGCTCTTCTTTGATTCTCCCTTCTCTCCACCCAATTCCTATTTTTGTTCTACTAAACTGTTTATACCTGCATGTGGCCAGCTCGCTCAAGCACAGGCCCTACAGGTACACTTCCACTCACCCGCACACACAATAAATCACAGATACTATTTACTGTGCTTTTTTTTTTTCCTGGCCAGACATCATGCCATCAATACAATTATTGACCCAAGTTGTTTCACTTAATTCTCACAAAAATGTCTGATGATGATTTGAATCCTTTTTTTAAAGGATGATAAGGCCTCAGAAGGTGAGGTCACTTGCCCACATTGACAAACCTCACAAGAAGTCAGCTACGATTTGATCCCAGGCCTCTTTTTCATTACTTATTTATATTTTTCATAATTTTTTTCATGAAGGTGACATTGGTTTACAACACTGTCTATGATTCAGAAATACAGGCTCCCTCCTCCACGGGTGTCCCTGAGTGCAGTGCTCACACCGGATGCCTTTACATCAGCTGGCTGCTTGGACCAGGACTTCTCTGTTTGACTCACTGCTCACGCTTGAAGATTTCCTGACTCCTGATTTTATGTGATATCTCTCTGAAAACTGGTCAATAGCCTTTGAAACTTAGAACTTCTTTAGAAGGAACTGAGAAATGCTCTACTCAAAAGAAAGAGATAGACGGTGATAGCTGTGGTCACCATAACACTACTTTTTCAAAAAGCTTTTGAAAAACAATCTTTTGACAAAAAAGGTGGATTTTATACTTTAAGACAAAATCTACACATTAATCCTTCTAATATTTCTGTGAGTGTTCTCATGTCGACGCCACAATTCATACTTGCCGTGGCGGCACTACGCCGGACTCTGTTGGAGGATGAGGTCTGCTCAGGGTGACTTTCCAGAGGAAATCAGGGTCAGTGATTAACTCTTGTTCTTCCAACTCACGGACATTCTCCTTTGGAAATGGTGATAGAGATAGTTCAGGAGCACCCAAACATCAGTTTCCTGCTCACCCTAGTTATCAGATTCATTTTTGACTTCTACATCCTAAAAATCATGTTCTCTCCAGCCACTGACTACAGGACACCCATGGCACTAACATCACCTGCCATCCCACAGAGAAGTCTGGGTTGAGTTTGTGATGGAAGTTACGCCTAAAGTTATGCCCAAATGTTCTCACTCACTTTCCTTCAACTCAATATGCCTGGGAGCTGGATAATTTCCTTTAACACTGATGGAGGGCTCCTGTAGAAAGTCAGTCCACATAAAATTGTTCAAAACAAAGGCTCGGAGAAATGGGTTTTTAAAGGCAATTTTGTTATCCAGACCTTTCAACCCCCCTCAATCCGCAGAAGATTTCCCCCTCAGTCCACAAAGAAGTCCCCCTCAGTCCACAGAATAGACCCCTCAGTCCTCAGAGGAGTCCCCCTCAGCCCACAGTGAGCCCCTCCACACACACGTTGCTCCTGGGGTGCCTCCACTCCCTCCACCACTGCCTTCCTCCAGCACTTCACAGCCACACAGTCCAGGGCTGCCTCCATCCTGCTTTCATGGCCCACCCACAGTCTCCTGTCTCCCCAAGCAGGTTGGAGGTGCCCGCAGCAGGCCAGTCTCTGTCCTTTGCGCATCCCCTCACAGGACATTTCAACATTTTCCCTTGAGGGTGGCTTCAGGGTCAGCGTTGCTGAACCACCTTTGCTGAAACGCTTATCCTGTGCCTGATCCTACCTCTGGGCAGGTGAAGCGCGCCCAGCAGGTTTCCTGAGGGGAATGGACTGTACCTGGAAGGGAAGGGAAAGATGGGGGTCTGGAGGGAAGAACTGGTGCATTGGCTACCCTGCTTCTCCTTGCTGGCCTCCCATCACTGGAGGAAACCAGAGACTGCTTCTTCTAGGGGAAAGTCTCCTCTCCTCCATTCCCCAAGAAGACCCTGCTCAAGGGCTGGGTCCTAGGGGTCTGCACTTCAAGACTCCAGCTCACTGGGGTTTCTGGAAGATTCTGGCAACCAGAATCCTGCAATGACCAGAGAGGAGGAAAGAGCCATCTGCCACCCACCAGCCTCGCTCCTTGGCCTTTTTGTTGTCTCCCAAGGGGCGGATCCAGGGCAGGCAACCCAAGGTCACAGGCACTGATCAGGATTAGGGGTGCCCATGAAACCAGAGCCCACCGAGGTGGAAAAGAGCAGGTAGGAAAATGCCTCAGCCAAGATGCTGTCCTCACCGGCTCCTCAGGTGACTGCAGAGTCAGCGCTGGGTCTGGGTCCTGGGGGCTCCCCGGGCTCCGGCCCACGCTCCCGGGACCCCACCCTCTGAGACTCCAGGGGCCTGGCCAGGTCGGAGGAAAGGCCAAGGGAACTGGGTCCCAGAGGAGCCCCTGACGGCCCCTCCTCAAGGCCCAGAGCAGAGCCCGGTGTGGAAAAGCAAACAGGCCCTGGCCGCTGCCCTTTGAACCTTTTGCAACTCCCTCTGCGCTCCCCAGCCGCGGGCCCGGGCGGGTATAAATACAGCTCCGGGGCCAGCCGCGCATTCCCATCGCCGGGTGCGGGGTCCGCCGGAGCCGGTGGGCGCGGGTGTGTGAGCAGCCTGCGAAGGGAGACCCAGCCGCAGAGCGCACTGAGGGTGCCGCCCGGCTCCGCCATGGGCCCCCCGGGGCCGGCGCTGCGGCTGCTGCTGCTCCTGCTGGGCGCGGGCGCCTGGGCGCGTGAGTGCGGGGCCGGCGGGGAGAAGCCTGTGGCCGGCGGGGGGCCGCCACAGCTTGGGCCTGGGTCCCGGCGGGGACAGTCAGGGCGGGGGACGAAGGCTGGACAGGCAGAGGCTCCTCCACACCCAGGAGCCGGCTCCCCAAAGCCCGCTTCCTGATAGGGGAGAGTCCGGCCTGTCGGATCTGGGGCCCATCCTGGAGGCCAGAAAAACTCAGTTGTCTTTCTCCTTGCCTTGCAGAAGAGGGAGCGCCAGGAACTGCCAGCCTCAGCTGTTCAAGTAAGGCCTTTGCCCACTGGGGAAGCCAGCACCCCCACCCCGTGCCATCCCCGCCCCCCCGTGCACCTGTCACTAAGGGCTGTGGCCCGTGCGCACCCCTCTGAGCCCCAACAGCCAGCTCCCTGGGCCTCTGCCCACCCCTCTGCTGGCCCTTCTATCTGTCCACAGCTCAGCCAGGGGGTGGGGCAGCGAAGGGGCTGCCTCTCTCTGCGCCCATCACCATCCTATCGATCAATGGCTAATCATTGATCAAAGCACACGAGGGTGAAGAAATGCTGACTTTAACCTTTGTGCAAAAATCCAGACCCCCACGCCTTCCTATTTACCTGACCGCTAGGGGTCAAAGGAGCTGGCCTTGCGGTGGTACCCAGTGTTCCCCGGAGAGCGGGCCTCTGGCCTGTGATGGAGCCGCGCTGCCACCTCGTGCGCATCTGCCGTCACTGCACCTGGGTTCCGGCCACAAATGTTCTTTTCTTCAAGTTGTTGGGAAAATTCCTTTGGAGCACAAATAGAAATCTCCAGAAATTCCTTCTTGGGGTGCCTTCTTCAATCATCCAGATTGTTGGTAGCACTGAAAAAGATTCTTGTATTTTCAAGCCATAAAGGCATGAGCGATAGCACTACGTCGAATAAAGGCCATTTGAATTCCAGCTATTTTTGATCGTCTATGCCACGGTCTCTCCCTGCCCAAAATTGACTGTGCTCGGGAGTCGGTTCTAATGGCTTACTGACACCTTTCTCCTTCTTTTAGAAGATGCAACTCGTTTTAAGCACTTCAGGAACTATGTATACAACTATGAGGCAGAGGGGTCCAGTGGGTTCCCCGGGACCGGGGATTCAAGAAGTGCCACCAAGATCAACTGCAAGGTAGGGGGCACGAGGGTTTGGGGGTGCGAGAGACCTGGAGCCCAGCTGAGCACACCATGCCCCCCTAGACCTGCTGTATCTTCAAGGACTGCCACAGGCCTGCTATTGGACAGTCAGCTGCTTTGCTGAGATGGCTGCTGCAGAAAGCTGGGCCAGCCAGATTTATGTCCCTGTAAACTTCCACAATCGGAATATGTGACCTAGAATCTCAGAGCCGCAGCCCGGTAGATCTGACCTGAGAAAGCCCAGTGGGTGAGCCAAGGATGACGGGTGTCTCAGGACCTCACCCTGAGTGAAGTTTATAGGCAGTAGATTCTGTTGCTAAAAGTAATAATTAGTTTGAAACCAGAGGAATGTGAGCATGCTGTTCCTGCTCAAGTACAGCTTCACTTCTTGTTGAGATTGGCTGTCCTTGTGTCCAGGCTCACAAGAAACTGATTTCTGGGCCACTGTTGGGGCTCACGGGTGGAGGAGCCATCAGGCTAACTAGGGTGCTGCCTCTCCTTTTGAGAGCTTGTGGCCTGTTCTGACGCGGTGCTTGAATACGATTACAGATCCGTGCTTCGTCATGCTAGCCAGAGCTCAGGCACCCTGGGCCACCTGTGGTTGGCGGCCTGGGTCAGACTTCCCCTCTCCACAGAAAGCTCTCTGCACTGTGCCGGAAAACAACCAGGTGTCTGATTAGGTCTTTACGGAGACAAACAGCTTGGCTTTTAGTGACTTTAAGTAAATGTGTGCTTTGAAAACCAGTGACAGCCCCTGCTGTTTCCTACCCTTCTCCCTAACAATTACTCCCAGCTCCTCTTTCTTCTAGTCAGTTGTACCTCTTAACAGCTAAGTGAGTACATTTTGAACAATAAAAAGACACCCCCCCTTTACATGCGTGGGACATACTTAAGAAACTTGGTGCCCTTGGACATGGGAAGGTCAGACGTAGGACTCAGGCTGGTGCTCCACAAAGCTCCGTGAGGCATGCTGGGGACGCAGGTGGGGTGGGTGCGCAGGTGACGTGTCCCCAGACAGCACTTCCTTCGGGGTCCTAATCGAGCGAGCCCTGGGCCCTGGGGGACATTGTGTTCTTGATGGAGGGTCTTGCTGTATCTCAGGTGGAGCTGGAGGTCCCTCAACCCTGTAGCTTCATCCTGAAGATAAGCCAGTGCTCCCTCAGAGAGGTCTACAGCTTCAACTCGGAGGGCAAGGCCTTGCTGAAGAAGACCAAGAACTCTGAGGAGTTCGCTGCTGCCATGTCCAAGTAAGGCATGGGCCCGTGTTTGCATTTCTGAGCTCTGCGAGCTGCCGGATGTGCTGTACGTGTGTGTGTCGTATGCGTGCGTGTTCACGGAGGGAGGAACGTGTGTTCTCACATGAGGCATGATCATGGGCATTTTCTGTATTCACTGTGGATCAGGAAATGGCTGAGTTTTCACGACAATCAAAAAGAGGCCATGCATTCTTTACCCTCCCCAGGAAAAGCTCCCAGAATCACCATGTCTCTGTGCTTGGCCAAGATCACAAGCTTTAAACTCCTTAAATAATCAAGTGGAGAGGCCTTGTTGGAACAATGAGTTCTTGCTTAAAGACTTGTGCAAGATGGGTGCTTCATGGGTTTCAGGGGGGTCTGGCGTCCTGTGGCTGTGGCCCACCCGTGGTGCAGCTCACAGGTCTGGTCAGTGGGCCAAGGTCAGCCTAGCAGGGCAGAAACGCCATCTGAAGGGTCCTGAGCGTGGGCAGTGCAGGCAGCGCAGGCAGTCCTGGAGTTGTGGTCTTGGTCCCCACGGACACCCTTGCATTTTATTGGACATTAGACATGGAGGCCAGTCCTTTCTCTGCAGCGTAGCCCTTGTGCCTCTGTTGCTGAGAAATATGCCTCATTTATCTGACACTTGGAGCTATGTGAAGGAGCCAGTTGCAATGACATAAAGAAGTAGCAGTTACTCTTCGGTCCTTACCCAAATAAAAGGGATTCCTGCTCTTGACCGCAAAGTTTTCCCAAGCCTGCAGTGCTGCTTTGTCTGGAACTTTCTGAGACGGTGTAGAGCTGTGGGCATTCTTCTTCTGACTTCACTAGAGCAGGTGCAGCCAAGGCCCTTTGAAACCACCAAAAGGAAGTCCCCAAATGGAAGTCCCTAAGATCAGAGTTGACATGGCCTTTGGGCATGGTCTGAGACCACAGATTTCAACGTCTGGGACTCGAGCCCATGAAAAGGATGGCAGTAATATGTGAAGATAAATGCATAAGTTTGTTTCATTTCAGTGTTGTTCATGTGGGGGGAAGCCAGAATAAAGAAATGTCATCAAATAGGAGAATATCTGAATGAGTTCTACATGACCATAGAATGGAATTTGAGGTAGTCTTTCAAAATGAATCTGTTGAAGGCTCTTGCCGGCTTCACAATCCAGGAATGTTTTTCTTAATGGTCTGGAAACCATCTCTTTGAAATGTAAGCATCAAGGAGGATTGCACCCCATCTCCATGGCAATCCGCTAACACTGAAGTCACCCCAATTACCTGGTGACCGAGGACAAACCAGGGTGACAAAGGGGGCTGGGAATCCTCTTGCTTGAGGACAGGGCAGAGCTGGTCTCATGGAATGAGTCGGGGGCTTCCCCATGCTCCCCGTCCTTTGGAGATGCCTGGTGATGATTGATGTTGGTTGTTCTTTGAATATTTGGTGGAATTCTCTGGTGAGACCATCTGGTCCTGGAATTTTCTGTGTTGGGAGGTTTCTGATGATTGATTCAAGCTCTTTTTACTCATTTGTTTGAGCTCTTTTGAATGTCTTTAGATGAGAAATTATAGAATAAAATAAATAGAATACTATAGATATATAGTATAGGAAATACAACTATCTTAGTTATTGCTGTAAACTTTTCCATTCAGAGTGGAGAAGAAAGAGGCTGGGTTAGAGCCATGGAGGATAACTCAGAAGGGATTTTGTAGATTATAGTTCAGTGAGAAAAGTCAGATGAAGAGAAGTGTGCATCAGACACCACCACTGGTATAAAAAGAATGATGACTCTCGCCTGTGGATGTCTCCACCTTCTCTCACCTCTCTGGATGCTGAGGGTGGAAGAGCAGGCGAATCCCCTGGAGGTTGTTCTCTGGGTGGTATGAGAGCAGAAACTGGTGTGGGTGGAGAACTGAGAGGCAGTGGGTGAGCCAAACAAGAAGGGAAAAGAAAGAAAAGGCCAGGCACACACGCAGGTTCGTATACGTCAGGAAGATGCGTGTGTCAGTGCAGACAGCCACACTAAGGAGCACAGCCGCAGCCTTGCCGTCCCCGGGCTGGCGAGGCCCAAGGGCCTTCAGTGACCACTCTCTGCCTGGGCAGGTATGAGCTCAGGCTGGCCGCCACTGACGGGAAGCGAGTCGTGCTTTACCCAGAGCAGGACGAAACTAAGCACATCCTCAACATCAAGAGGGGCATCATCTCCGCCCTCCTGGTTCCCCTGGAGACAGAAGAGGACAAGCAAGTGCTGTTTCTGGTGAGAACTTAGGAAGCTGGTGTTAGTGGCCCTGGAAACCCATCTTCACATCCTGGAGGGGAGCCAAGGAGGTGACAATGTAGAGAGTCACCTGAGAGTCACAGAGAGGCCTGGCAAGTCACAGAGAGGCCCGAGATCACAGCTGAATGCAGGGCTCGGGGTGGAGGGGGTGCCGAGACCCACCTAACACAGGTGGCCTGGAGCCCTGCCTGGGTGAGCTGCAGAGGCACTGCTGGGGGAACAGGGGCCTGGATTCAGGGGGCTGATCCTTGGAGGCCATGCCATATGCCTCGGAACCAGAACCACCCTTGGCAGGCTCTCGTATTCCATCTCTGGCTGGCCGGGTGGCAGCAATGCCAGGCTCCCCAAGAGGAGGAAGTGCCCCCCAAATCCATGTTGCACCTCCTTTTTCTCCTGGCTCATTTCCCTGCTCCCCGAAAGCACCTGAGTCGGTTTCCTGTGTTGAATTCATCTGTCATATCTGCTCCCGCAGGATACAGTGTACGGAAACTGTTCCAGCGACTTCTCGGTGAACACCAGGAAAGGACACGTGGCGACAGAAGTATCCATCGAGAGAAACCTGAAGAAGTGTGATCACTTCCAGCCCGTGAGCACAGGAGTCAGCCCCCTTGCTCTGATTCGAGGCCTGGTGAGTCTCACCCGGCATTGCTGTTCACACTGCGTGGGGTCCTTTTCGTTAATAAAACTCTGGAATGTTGGAGCGAATAGGGATTCTGGAGCTAATAGCCCGGCCCTCCTCCCTCTAGGCTAGAGCAGGACACTGGGAGCTAGGCTGGGACGGGCCACCCAAGGCCACGGCCTGTTGCTCATTGACCTGGACTAGAACCAGGCTCCTGACTCCTGCTCACGGCTTCGTCCTCTTGCTGTCCTCCTGCCACTGGTGTTACACCTTCTGCCACCACCTGAGAGGAATGACCCACTGCTCAGCCCTGAGAAGCTCTGGGCCTTGTCACAGAGCAGCAGAGTCACCCGATGTCCCCCCTGTGCAAGGGCTGGGGGCCCCAGCTCTGGGCCTCTGGCTCTCAGGGAAGCGAGAGACCCATGTGCTGCTCCCCTCTCCACTCCATGAAGCGACGTGACTGAGTGTCAGCATCGTCCTTCCACCCACAGACCACCCTGCCTATGCCTGACCCCTCTGCCTCCTGCCTGGGCCACCCCCCCATACAAAGTTCTCTGTGACACCTGTGCTAGGGTCACAGAGCGCACGTGCCTGAGCTTGCCTAGTGCCTTGTAATACCTTCCAGGACGTGAGTCACAGCTCGTCAGTAAACACGCAGGGCTTGGGCAATCACTGCCGTGCCTGGCGACGTTCCCGGTCATTGTCCTTGAGCTGAAAACAGGGAGACGGTGGCCATTAGGGCCAGGGCACTAAATCAGCTGTCTCTGATGGGCACCTGCTGTGGGATCAGTGCCACTGTGGGCAGCACGGAGGGAAAGACAGTGACAGCCGAACCAGGGACTTTGCCTCTGGTGCTTACGGCCCAGGCAGGGACACCGTTCAGGTCACGAGAACTGGCCAGTACGGGGCACCTGATAAAGTGATAGACTGAGCAGTGCGGTCAGCGAGGCCTCACCAGGAGCGAGCACAACACGCTGTTCCCGTAGCTCTGTAGGCAAATCCGTGAGTAGGTCCAGTTAGAAGAAATGCTGGGGGAGCCTCTATGCACCACAAGGTGTCACGAAGGATGTGGGGCATGAACCTGGACAAGACCACAGATGTGTAAATGGCAGCGAGGCCTAGGGGCGGCTTCCAGGCAGAGAAGACACTGTGAACAGCCATGTGGAAGGCTGGGGTGGTAGGTGGTGGGGTGCCAGGGGCCGGGTTGCCTGTGCTTTGTACAGGATGCAGGGTCTCTTGGTGGGATAAGAAGAGTCTGTAGCTTGAGGCAACGTAGGGTATGCAAGTTGTTGCACCCCCTTGTCTACATGCCAAGGACCCAGTTCTCTTTAACTGAGCTGCAGAACTCCCTGTCCCATCTTCGTTGAAGGTAAACACCAAGGCAGACTCATGTCTCAAGCCCCAGGGACTGATCAAATGTTCTGATCTCCTGATCTCGTTCTCAGAGTCACCCCTTGTCGACTTGGATCAGCAGCAACCAGTCCTGCCAGTACTCCCTGGAGCCCAAGAGGAAGCACGTGACCGAGGCCACCTGCCAGGAGCAACACCACTTCCTGCCTTTCTCCCGCCAGTAGGTCACCTGCTGAGCCCCCATTCATAACTTACGGGGTCTAAGTAAGCTGCTGTTATAGAGCAGCCCCGATATTGAACAGGTTCCTGGCTGTGGGTCCTCACTCGCGCGCTTTAAAGGGACTTATGAATACTCCACTACAGACACACACAAAAGGTTAACAAAAGGTTTATTTACAAGAGAAAAGGAAATAAGGAAAATGTACAACTCAGGGAGAAAATAGGGAAATAAAGTCTTTAATGCGTCCTACCCGATCCGACGACCTGGAAACCCAAAGGCACTCTCAGAGCTGGCCAGACACTGCGAGCTGGCGGAGAGCCAAAATGGGGGACCCCCAAAGCCCACGTGTCTGCCTTTTGTATCCACCTGGCTGCTGAACCCCACCCTCAGGTCCCAGCCACCTTCCCTTGGGTGGGGATGGGATTTGGAGTTCCCAGTGTCTTTGGCTTTGGCCTGGGGTGGGGGTGGAGTCCACAAAGCCTGTATGGAATTAGCTTTAGGACAGCCTTTTCCCCCTAACAATTCCCCCCTTTCACTTTTTGCCACCATTTCCATGGTAATGAAGTTCGAATATATGGAGGTTGGGATTGCTTCTCGGGTGGCCTGTTCCAGATGAGGCTGTGCTTGGAGGGGGGCCGTGAATAGGCGCAAAGCAGACCCATCCCTGCCCTCCTTTTCAAGCTAACAGACCATCTGGCAGGAAAATCGTGGGCATGCAAAACAAGACAGTCCAGGAAAAGATATGCAAGACCCAGACTTGCAGGCTATCCCTCAGAAAAAGTGGGGATCCCTGCAGGCTGCCCTGCTAAGAAGGGCTTTCTGGAAGACTTAGGATTTTGACTGGCAACTTATGAATTCAAATCTATCTTGAAAACTCATCCATCAATGAATGTTTACTGGGTAACTGCTCGTGTATGAGCACTGTCCTGTGGGACATACAGAGGGATTTGAAGGCACGGTGCTCATAGCACCCCTGGGTGCTCCACACTGGTGGAGAGCAAGGTTTGCATGTCCTTCTGATGGAAGGACAGCCGGCAAGGCCAGGAGGAGGAGGGTGTTGTGCAGGAGGCCGGTCAAAGGTAACATGGCTGGATGTGACCATGCTTTGAAAGGGGAGCAGGCTCTGGGCAGAGGTGGATGGGGAAAGAGTGAACATGAGAGGAAAGTTGTGCTCTGGGCTGTGGCTGTGCTGACGTGTGTGCTTCCTCTGTGACCAGGAATAAGTATGGGATGATGACACAGGTGACACAGACTTTGAAACTTGAAGAAACATCTAAGAGCAACAGTCGCTTCTTTGATGACGGTAAGACTCGACACCCGTGTGGCTGCCAGGGTTGGGAAACCCACCCAGGATGCAGCATGTGGCAGGCTTATCTCCCCACTGGGCCCTATGGAATGTGCGTGCTGATGGGTGAGGTCAGCAGCCCTGGGGGGCGGGCTAAGGGCTGCTCCTGCGAGAAAGCATATTCACTCCAGAATGTCACTGACAATGAAATCAGGAAAAGGGCTAAGCTCCCAAGGCCTCCGCGGTGTCCATCAAGAGGAACCTGGCCCGCTAAGTCTACCTTTGGCAGACCTGATAGCCTCAAGCAGCTGACGATAGGACTTGGACCTGGATGAGGTGGGCTGGGTGGGAGAGGCTTCAAGGAATCAATCCAGAATCAGTCTCTGGGGTTGGAAGGATCTGTGGGGCTCTCCAGGCCAACCCTCGCCCTATGTTCCTGTACAGCGGGTCCCCCAACAGAAATGCTTCATTCACTGTCACTTCATTATAGTGTTGATGGGAAACAATCCTCTCCCAGCCAGAGCCACGGTCTGTGCGGAGTGTATACGCTCTCCCCACGTCTATGTGGGCTTTCTCTGGGGACTAACCCTCCCGCATCTCACAGATGTGCAGTTAGGACACTGAAGTTAGGTCACTGACATGCCCCAGCTGTCCCCATCTCAGTGAGTGTGGGGCGTGTGAATGCAGGGGAGGTTCATCCTGTCCAGGGTGGTCTCTGCCTTGTGCCTTGAGCTGCCAGGATGGGCTAAAACAGGTGGACTGGAAAATGAATGAATGGATGAGCCAATCAATCTAACATGAGAAGTGTTTGGGTACTTATTTATAAGATGGTGGTGTGTGTAGGAACTAAACTCTTGTTTATATCAATTAGCCTATAGTCCAATGGATTTCACTGCATGTTGTTTTGCTGAAAGCCACAGTTGCCATGACCCCTATTGAGGAGGTTAAGTGAGGCTCGCTGTGTTTAAATCTATCCTATGCATCACCTCCTTGTTCTCAGCAACCTAGGATGTCAGGTGCCACCTGGGCTTTCATATCCATTCAGAGGGGAGGATGACACACAGAGAGGTTTAGTGACAGGTTCAAGGTCACAGAATATTAGAGGCGGCACAGAATGAGCCCCGGGTCTAATGTAAGCCAGAGTCGTCCCCTCGCCCCACATGTCTGTGCTGCCTTAGCCCCCCTCACTGACCTAGCACAGAGCAGATGATGGTGGGGACGCAAAAGGGTCTTCCCCTCCCCACGACCTGCCAGCAGGTCCACCTGGAAGGAATGGTGGGTGAGCACCCACAAGTCTCGGCTCAGCGGGACCTCCCCGGTTCCTTGCAGCCAGGAGGTACTGGACACCACACCCAGCCAGCCTGGGTTCACTGCCAGCTCTGCCTCTTGCACCCAGCGCCGTCTTGGGCATGGTGAGCTGCTCAGGTCTGGCCCTAGTTCCCTTATCTTTTGTTTGAGAAACTGTATGCTTGCCTCCAGGGAGAGTATGGGGATAAGTGAAAAAATTGAAGTCAGGCCTCGGGCACAGAGCCAGGTACATACCGGGCACGGAGAACCAAGAACCGTGGCTTTCTTCTCTTTTCTTCCCCCTTGTGGATGCCACTGCACCCCCACCCCCAAGTTCCAGCTTCCAGTAGACCAAATGTGGCTGAGATGTGGAGGTAAGCACAGGTTTCCTTACCACATTCCCTCTTCCAGGCACCCAGGAGGTGGGGCTCGCCTTTGAAAGCACCAAGTCCACGTCCCCTCCAAAGCAGGCCGAGGCCGTTGTGAAGACCCTCCAGGAACTGCAAAAACTGCACGTCACTGAGCAGAACTCCCAGAGAGCTAACCTCTTCCACAAACTGGTCGCTGAGCTGAGAAGCCTCGACGATGAAGCAGTCACTTCCCTCTTGCCAAAGCTGATCGAGGCGTCCAGGTATTTCTCAAGTGGTTCAGCACAGTCGGCCACCACTGTGGTGCTGCCTGGATGTTTGACCCTTGGCCGAAGGGAGTATTTCAGGGACCACTGAATCACCCATCCAGTTAATCATTTGGTCAATCGTTCATGTTTGCTGGCCAGAGACTGCCGGATCGGGTGCCAGGGGTCCATGGACGACAAGCCTCTGCCCACACAGCCTCGGACAGTATGCATGTGTGTGTGTTAAAATAGGAGGGAGGTGCTCCCCAACTGTTTTAATGGGTATCTTCTAATTTGGGTTCTACCATGGGTATTCTGGAACATTTGGAAGAAGCTTGTGTCTTCTGAAAGCCTATATTTTGGTGGGGTGAGAATTCAGGCGCACAGAGGAATACTGTGCTTTCCCTGTGCTTCAGGCAAGGACCCCAAGGGCTGTGAGGGACACACCAGTGTGCTGGCCACAGGCCAAGCTGACAGTCAGGTCTCTGTTGGCGATGAGTCCAGGTCTTTCTTCAGACATCGCGTGGTGCTTCTCCAGTGCAGAGTTCTTGTAGGGATGCTTCTTGGTTTCTGGGATTGAGTTGGATTTTGAAAGATGATTGGATTTGGATAGTGAATCAGGGAAATAAGGGTGCTCCTGGCAGAGGGTACCATGGGCAAAGGAGATGTTAACTGCCTGGGAGGCATCTCTGTAACCGTCTCTGCCCTATGCCATGCAGCCCCATCACCTTGCAAGCCTTGATTCAGTGCGGACAGCCCCAGTGCTACACTCACATCCTCCGGTGGCTGAAGAGCGCGAAAGTCAACCCTCTTCTGATAGACGTTGTGACCTACCTGGTGGCCCTGATCCCAGAGCCCTCAGCTCAGAGGCTGCGGGAGATCTTTAACACGGCAAAGGAGCAACAGAGCCGGGCCACCTTGTATGCGCTGGCTCGTGTAGTCAACAAGTGAGTTCTACCCTGTTTTTCCTGGTAGGACCTGAGGAAGACCCCACCTCACTGTACAAAGTTGGCCCCCTCCCTCCACTTTCAAACTCTGATTTCTCGTTTTTATTTTCTCTCTTGGTCATTTTGAGAATAATAACTTGAAATAAGAAATCAGCCCACACACATCTGTGCTTTAAGATAAACCTAACTACACTTGCTGAGTCCTACTCTTATTCTGTAGCTACTATAAGACAAACCCCACGGAGACCCAGGGCCTGCAGGACATTGCCGATTACCTGTCGGAACAGATCCGTGATGGCTGCGCCGGGGACGAAGAGCACACCTATTTGATTCTGAGGGTACTTTCCGTCTTTTGTATAATACGCACCATTTTGGAAGCCTTATCTTGGCCATCCCTTACTTCTCCTTCTGCACCCTGACTCCCTCTTCTTTCTTTTCAATGCAGGTCATTGGAAATATTGGCAGAACCATGGAACAGGTAGCCCCAAGACTCACGTCTTCAGTCCTGCAATGCATCAAAAGTACAGAGCCATCGCTGCCAATCCAGAAGGCTGCCATCCAGGCCCTGCGGAGAGTGGGGCTCCAAGATGAGGTATCGTCCACAGAGGAGCCTTCATGGGCAAGCTTATTTGGAGCAACTAGCATTTTTCATGAGTCTAAATCTCACCATTCTGTTGACTCTATTCTACTGCTTTCTAATTGCAATCTCAACAAGTCTACTGACTAGATAACCTAGCAGTAAATGGACATGACCCACTGCCACTCCAGAGCATAATATGAGAATTGTGTTGCATGTTACATGTTGTCCTCCCACCAGATCGACTCTCACTCTCTTCTAGAACAAAATACCTGATTTTACCCCATTGCCCCAAACTAGGATGGTGGATCTGGTTTCACCTTAGTTGGCAATAATCCCAGTTTTGGAAACTATCTTATTTATTTGCCCCTAGCTCTTATACTTGCTTCCCACCTTTACCCTCACTTTGAAATAATTTAAGTTAAAACAACTTTATAAACACTTAATGGCAGGTCTCTGTTAAATCATATCATGACTGTCACTTGTGTATTTGAATGCATTTGAATTTAGTACACATTGATAAGAGTGTTCTAAGATACTTCCTTGAGCTGGTTGCTCTAGGGAATACAGTGGAGAAGATGCAGTACCAGCTGTTACAGAGCTAGTGGGAAGAAGTTCAACTTGAATGTCATAAATCACTATGAGAGCATGCAAGCATTTACGTGAAGGTCAGTAATAACAGTCTCCTCTTTTGGCTACAGATCCGGGAAGTTCTTCTTCAGACTTTCCTCAATGAAGCCTCTCCAGGGGACAAGAGACTGGCTGCCTACCTCATGCTGATGAGGGACCCTTCTCAGTCAGATATTAATGAAATCACCCAACTTCTCCCCCGAGAACAGAATGAGCAAGTAAAGAACTTCGTAGCTTCCCACATGGCCAACATCTTAAAGTCAGAAGAATTGTCTATCCAAGAGTAAGTCAGAATTCTTTTCCTCCCTCTGCTGGAATTCCCAACGTCCATTACGATTTATCCACTGCCTGACTTTTCTAGAGTGTTTTTTATTCTGGAACAAACTTTGTGTGAAAGCACAGCAGAGCAGACCTGAGTCAAGCTCTTTGGGCAAATGAAACCCAAAGAGTTTAGTAGTGACTTGGGTGAGGGAAGCAGTGGATAAGTGACCTGATATGTCAGCTGAATACCTCTTCTTCTTTTCATCCAGCTTGAAAAAGTTAGTGGAAGAAGCTCTGAAAGAATCTCAACTTCCAAGTCTCATGAACTCCATCAAAATTTCCCAGAACTATCACCTCTCCAAATCTGTTTCTCTTCCATCACTTGACCCAATCTCAACCAAAATTGAAGGAAATCTTATATTTGATCCAAACAATTACCTTCCCAAAGAAAGCATGCTGAAGACAACACTCACAGTGTTTGGATTTGCTCCAACTGACCTCTTTGAGGTATGTGTGAGACGGAAGGAGATGCCTGTGCCCAGGGGAGCCATGAGCCAGCCGGGAGGCGCAAGAGTCCTCAGGCAGTTCACACCATCATTTCAAGGATGCTTTTCCGATCCCCTAGCCTTCTTGCCTCCCTGCTCGAAATGATCTGAATCATAGGCCTCTGGTATGAATGAAAATGCTGGTGTCTCAAAGAAGCCCTGAGGCCCCAAATCCCCTGACATGCCTGAGCTATGCAGTCAGACAGCTCTTGTTCAAACTCCACGCCCACTATCAACTCTGGGGTTTTGTTTATTTATTCTCTCTGAACTTTGCCCTTTTAAGGAAAAGGGCAAATAATATATTTTACCTTCTATGATTCTAGTGAGATTAAAATATGACAGCTCTTGTGGGCATGTGACATTCAGCTCCTGTCCCAACATTCACATCAAACACTTTCTTCATTCAGGGGACATAAAGGGCAGGTGGAGGGTGGATTATAGCAAAGAAACTTGATGGTATTTTCTTACCTGATTTTCTTTCTCAGATTGGTTTGGAAGGGAAAGGCTTTGAGCCAACACTGGAAGCTCTTTTTGGGAAGCAAGGCTTCTTCCCCGACAGTGTCAACAAGGCCTTGTACTGGGTTGATGGTCAAGTTCCCGATCATGTCTCCAAGGTCTTGGTGGATCACTTTGGCTATACCAAAGATGATAAACGTGAGCAGGTATGGTTTTGATAAGTATGCCCTCAAGGAAAATTGTGTGTCTCAACACAAAAACATTCTCTAAACCTGGTGACAATGGTGGCTGTTATTAACCAGTCTTATGGGGGGTTGGGGGGGTGGTGGCTGGTACCCTCTGCAGTTGTGGGTCCCCTGGATATTCAGGGTTCCCAAACCAGACTCAGTAGATGCTCTCTAGCTAAAAGGTAAAGACTTTGAATTCTATCCTCAGTCCCTTCAAGCTGTGCTCACCTGGGCAAGTTTTGATATTAAATACATCTGTTCCTTGAATGCTGATAATAATCCCTACCTCACACATTGATTTAAGGACTAAACAAAATAAAGTACATGAAATGTTAAGCAGAGTACCTGATTCTGGTACTAGTTACTCCATAGTTACTATTATAATTTTTAAATTCATATTTTATTATGAATTGCTTTTTTGGCTCTCATATCAGCATACGAACTAATTGGAGCAGAATCCATTTTGAAGCTAGCAGGAACCCCCACATAATAAGTAGGAGATGGATTGTATCATTTGCAGTGTCTCGTTGTTTAGATCTATGCAGCCTAAAGTGTGGCTCAGTGATCGGCCTCACATAAGCTCTCATGAGGAATGCAGGTTCCCAGGTCCCACCAGGCTCAACCTGCATTCTAATGAGATCCCCAGGATCTTGTAGGTACTTGTAAATACTTTTGAATTGGAGAAGCAAGGCAGTAATTTACTCTTGGCTGCTCACAATGGCCCCACTTCCACCTCTAAGGGATCCCCTCCTCCTGAGGCTGCGGGTCCTCCTTCTGTTGGGCATGTCGGTCACTCCCCTCCTCAGTGCCTATGCATTTGCCTGCAAACTGCTCTAAGAACTTACGTAGGAGCCAGCATTTGTCAAGTTTTTGAACAATTTATTGAGCAGCTACATAATCTCCAGGAATCCCTAGTATTCTTCCCTAGTCAAAGGAGAGAAGGGAAAGCAGGGACAGGGGTTAGGGGACAGAGACTACTCTCATCCTGGGGAGCCCCTGGGGTCCTGGCATCCAGGAGGGGAGACCCCTCCCCATGCCGACATCCACTGTGAGTGTCCCCACAGGGAGTGTCTGTGTGGCCCATTATGGCTGTAGCCAACAGGCCCCACGTCCGGAATCTAAATTAGCCGTCCGACGGTGCTGACATCTCACCAGACATTTTGTTGCTCACACCCCAGGACATGGTCAAAGGAATTATGCTCAATGTTCAGAACCTGATCAAAGATTTGAAATCCAAAGAATTCCCAGAAGCCAGAGCCTACCTCCAGATCCTGGGAGAGGAGCTGGGCTTTGTCCAAATCCAGGACCTGCAGCTCCTGGGAAAGATGCTACTGGGCGGTGTTCACACTCTGCGGGGGATCCCCCAGATGGTGAGTGGGCCCCATCAGAGGCCAGCGAAACTAGCTCTTGTTAGACCTCCTGTCGCCCCTTAAGATCCAGACCACACAAGCCAAAAATAATCTGTGTGTGTCCTTCAAAGAGGGAAGTTAGCTTTGAATTCCAGTGAAGAAGATTCTTGGATTGCAATGAATTGTTAACATTTAGAGATTAAGCGATTCATAATGTTAGGTGCATCTTTTTTAGTGCATGTAACCCATACTACAGATCACTTTTAATATTGAGATGATGTAATGATTATGAGAGAGTCCATTTGACAAACTGTAATGTACTATCTGAATATGAGCTATAGATTTTATTATTATTATTATTAATTTACTAATAAGGTCAGAAATATCCAAATATATTCCCTAGGATTTCATAAATAGGGAGTTGGCTTTAATAGATTTTAATTTATTTCTAGAAATGTTATTTTTTTAAAAATGCATACTAACATGTACATCATCTCAGTTGACTCATGGGTTTAAAATAAAATGGTTTTACCATGATATATTGAATTTCAAGCAAGCCCCGACTTACCTGTAGACTCCAGAAAACCAGAATGAAGCTGAGCTTTGCTGTGGTAAATGTCAGAAAGCTCTGAGGCCAGGCCTGTTTTTGAATGCCTTCCGAACCACAAGTTGAAAATGACATATCTACCCAGGGCAATTTTTTTCTGTGGTGATTTGTTGAACTCAATAATCCTTTATCTTCACATTTCAAACTGTTCAGCTAATCAAAATATGGGAGTCTCCTCCTTTCTGGGTACAGTAGAATAATTTCTACCCCAGTGTAGGAAGTTGCACTTCACAAAGTCCACTCCGATGAGACTCACTTTCAGCTGCTGTCTCTGTCTGATCTCCAGATTGGAGACGCCCTAAGGAAAGGCTCTAAGTATGACTTGTTTCTCCACTACATCTTCATGGACAACGCCTTTGAACTCCCCACCGGACTTGGGTTTCAGCTGCAAGTGTCCTCCTCTGGCATCCTCACTCCTGGCGTCAAGGCAGGGGCGAAGCTGGAAGCAGCCAATGTAAGACTGTCCAGTTCCAGGCAAAGTGTGCCACCACTGTCATCACCTCATAGACGTGTGTGAACACCATTAGGGTCTCGCTAGGATGTGCTACCTCGCCAGCTCCAGCTGGCCGTGGCACTAACATGAGAGCTCAGTCATTCTCTCAGTGAGTGAGGATTTCTGTCATCTTTCCATCCATTATGCGCACGGGTCACTTGGCACTTCCTGGCTTGGGCTTCAGGGTGGTGTGGCTCTGGGGGCCTGAGAACTTGACTGTGAACAAACCACAGTCATGTTACCCGAGGTGTGAGCTCTCCAGAGGTGTCTGCCCATTAAAGGGGGGAAGGGCTGCAGAGCCGACAGCCAGGAGCTGAGGGATCTAAGAAGCTGAACAGGTCACTTTCTGATTTATAGATGCAGATGGAACTGGTGACCAAGCCCTCTGTGTCTGTGGAGTTTGTGACAAATATGGGCATTGTCGTCCCGGACTTTGCTAGGAGTGGGGTCCAGATGAACACCAACTTCTTCCACGAGTCAGGCCTGGAGGTGCGAGTTGCCTTGAAACCCGGGCAGCTGAAGTTCATCATTCCTTCCCCGGAGAGGCCAGTCAGGCTGTTCAGTGGCAGGTAATTCTTTCATCTAGATCTGACTGGCCAGTTGGAAAGAGAGAATTGACATTGTATCGCTGGACCTGGCCAGCCAGGCAGCAGCTTGAGATAATTGAGGCCCCAGTAGACATGAGGGCTGTGGGAAAAGAAGGTGCTGGATTACCTGTTTTTAACCTAGCCTAGACTGATTAAATAACTACAACGTCCTCAACTTTACATATCCTACTAAACTGAGATTTAAGATTTCTAATTGTTACTAGGCCATGTATTTTTGTTTTTGTTGCTGTTGTATGTTCATCTGTTTTGAGAATGAAGAAATATTAGCTCTAGAAAAGCCATGCTTAGTAAAAGAACAAGTTTCCCAGGAAAAATGCCAAAGGACATGCTGCCCTCTGGCTGCTGGCTCAGTGCAAAGCTTGCAGGTCCAAATCTCAGGACTATGGGGAGACCCGGGGTTGATTGTGCTGTTCCGGGTGATATCCTCAAACCCTGATTTACCACCATCTCCACATTTTGAATACATTACTTTGTCAACTCAAAAATAGTATCAAATCACCTACACAGTATGCTGGCTGAGCTATGAAGCCCCCACCTCCTAGAGCTGGCAGCTTGCAGGAAGGACGGATGATGAACAAGCAGTAACTCCAAAGTGAGGCTCAGGTAGTGGACACTTCCAGGACCAGCGTCCAACATCGCGACAGCGATGGAAAACTTTCTGAAGAAAGTGATACTTGAGTTGGCATCTCAAGGTGATATCAGGTTATCCAGGCAAGAGAGAAGGGAGTATTTCCAGGGAGAGAGAAAAGCCCCACACTAGCCCGGGGGAAGAATGTGGTTCAGAAGTTTAAGAAATGCTGAGACCAGGGTGAGAGATGGCGGAGGGGCTGGCTAGGGTCCCCCAAGGAGCCATCTTAAGAAGTCTGGACATTTTTTATGGGGTAACATTGGTTTACAACACTGTGTGTGAGGGACATGAGCAGAAATGTGGAGAATATAAACACAGGACAGGGAAACATAAGCAGCAAAGTGTGCAAAGGCACGACCCGAGGCAAAGAACCAAGGCCACAGAAGGTGATGGAAGCCAGGAGTGGTCCAAAAGGGAGCATACCCCATGAGCAAGCCAAAGTTGGCTCTTCGGGGTACAGTCCCCCAACAAAGCTGAAACTTAGGGCACCCCCTAAAATGAGGAAATAATGCTGGCAAATGAACATGATATTTCAAAGGAAGCATCCTTGCATAAGATCACGACTTGGTTGAATTGTCTTGCTCTCAATTTTTTAAGTACATGCTTAGGAGGGAATTGCCGTCATGTTTTCAGTGGCTAGGAACCTTAAAGTTTTGATCTATCCATAAGTCAGCTATAAGCTGCATGCTGCTGAGAGATCAAGGAAAATAAAAACGTCCACTGAAGTTCGGAGAAAGAAGGGTATTGGCGATGCGCTGGAAAGGCCTCGCAAAGCACCATGGGAGGAGGAGCAGTCAGAGGCAGCTCAGCAAGAAGCAGGTTGAAAGTGGAGATTGCAGATTTCTTGACTGTAAGGAAGACAAGCGGGGGCTAGAAGGGAAAGAAATGTGTGTGTGTGTGTGTGTGTGTGTGTGTCTAGAGAGAGAGACGTGAGCATGAGCAATACTGGCAGGGGATGGTAGAGAAGAAGAGCCATCAGATGAAAGTGAGTCAGGCATCTCTCTTCCCCTGAGATTTCAGTTCCCAGTAATCTGCTCATTAACATCTCAAGCCTCTGTTTCCTTTGCAAAATGAGACTCTTGGGGACAGCTAACAAGTGTTAAGGACAGCTGCAAAGTCTGAAACCTGAGTCCCTTGATTGTTAACCTTGTTGGTATTCTTCTGAGCTATTTTTCCTTCCGGAGTAAATCAAAGACTGTGCGGTGGTGTAGACGGAGGGGAGACAGAGAGCAGGAGAAGGAGGTGTTTGCACTGTGAGAATCAGTGATGTTCATTTTGAGCCATGACTGGAAGATAACGCAGGTTTTGCTTTCCTCCCCAGTAACACATTGCATCTGGTCTCCACCACCAAAACGGAAGCGGTTCCATCTCTGATATATGCCAGACAGTTCTGGTCGGGTTGCAAGCCTGTCTTCCCCGGCATGGACTACTGCACCGTGGGTTCTCATTCCAGCTCCAGCGCCATAGACACTGGCCCCTACTCCCCAGGGGACACCAGGTCAGAGATGCTCAGTGCCCCCCACCCCTACCCCCAGGATCGCTCACCTGCATAGGGCCGCTGAGCAGGGCAGAGAGGCAGTGCTGTGGGGGTTGACCCTCGGCTTGTAGCCAGTGCCACCAGCCTTTAGGGGGTGCAGTCTTTGATTATTTAATACAATGGTCCTCTGCCCAACACACCTGCGGGGTGCCCAGATTCCTGCCTAAACTTTGAATGTAGCATGCTTTCTCCATAGGTTGGGGGAAAAGGGGCAGTGTGAGAAGGTGAAGAGTCATAACCCCTAAAGGAGATTAGCTTAAAGATCAACAACCAAGGAAGTTCAAGGAAACTCCAAGGGCACTTCACCCACTGCCACTGAGGACCCCCCTTTAAAAGCACCTCTTTGTTCGAGGGCACCTGCTCTTTCTCCTTTGGCATTAGTGAGGCAGTGCTCAATCACAGCACAGGTTCCGATTGGCCTCTGGTTCGCTGACCGGTGTCTGGGCCACCACACACATGGATGTGGCCTTCCAGAGCCCACTGACATGGCCAAGCCAAGCTGAGGGCGCTTGTCTGCAGCCCTCCCTCGTTCACTGCAGCCCCCAGCTTTGCTGACACAACCAGCCAAGTCCTGCTCTGCTGGCCCAAAGCCCTGGGATCCCGAGGCTGCCTGGGCCATGGGCTCTTGGAGGGACTGAAAGTGATCACAAAGATCACTAAGAGTTAAAGACAAAAGATGGTGTTAAAGGCCACATTCGTGCTACCATTGGGGCTGGGTTCCTTGGAAAGCAGCAGCAGCATCTAGAAAGCCCTAATGGGAAGCACCTACACTCTGTAACATCTGCAGGTTCCAGCTGGAGCTGAGGCCCACGGGAGAAGTGGAGCAGTATTCGGCCAGCGCAACCTATGAACTCGAGAGAGATGGTGGAGCTTTGGTGGACACACTGAAGTTTGTGGCTCAGGCGGAGGGTAAGTATCCAGGAAAAGATGCCTCCCTCTCGGCCTCAGCTTCAGGTGCTAATTTAGCTTCAAGTATTCATTTGATGTATTTAATAAATATTTACTAAAGAGACTGAGAAGGGTCAGGCCAGTTCTGAGAGCTGAGGCTCAAGCACCAAAGGAAGAGATAAAGCTGTGTGCTCTTGGACTTTTCAGAAAACAACCAAGCAGATAAATGTTCAGAAAGTTGTGTTGGTGCTGGGGAGGAGACAGACCATGGAGAGGTCTAGGAAAGGTTGGGAGTGGTGGGGAGGAAGAAGGTTGGAGGAATGCAGTGGCCTTTGGAATGATAAGAGAAAGTCTCACTGGTAAAGGGGACATTAAAAAGAGACCTATCAACAAAGATAAACTCATGCAATTTGCAGCAACATGGATAGCGCTGGAAGGGATCATGCTCAGCAAAATAAGCCAGAAAGAAAAAGAAAAATACCAGATGGTCTCACTCATAGCAGGAATCTAGAAAACCTAAATAAGGGACCAGGAAAAAGACTAATTATAATAAAGTAAAAATCAAAATCAACAAGTAACTATAAACCAGAGACACACTATGGTGGGGAGGGGGAGAGGGTTTAAGGTCAAAATAAGGGGGGCTGGGAATTGTACGGGGACTATAACCAAGATGAAAAGGCATACATTGTGCTAAATGAAAAATGACGTAAAAAATATATAAAATTTAAAAATATTAATAAACTAAAAACAAAGACAAAAACAAAGAGACCTGAAGGAGGTAAAGACATAAGCCATATGACAAGAGGGTTATAGGCTAAGGGGTTGGCAGTGCAAAGGCCCTGAGGCAGGCCTATGGCTGCCAGGTGTGAAGGAAAGGAGGGAAATCAATATGACCTAAGCAGAGAGCAGGGCAGAAGATGGTAGAAGGTGAGGTGGCGAGAGAGGGAGCCATGGTCTGGTAGGCTGTGGTAAGGACACTGACTTTTACTATGAGTGAAATGAGAAGCCACTGGAGAGTTCTCATCATTTAATTTATATCCGAGGAAACGCATGAACCGACAGGCGGTCTGTGGCAGTAACCCAAGGCACAGTAACTCCAGCGCTTTGGGTTGGAGAGAGGGCAGGGGTCTTCGGGCCATAGCTTAAAGAGTGGGCTGACGAGGGTTGCCGACACAGCGGGTGCTGAGGGCAAGAGAAAGGACACCAGGGCGAGGCTAAGTTTTGAGCTGACAACTAAAGACTGGAGCTGCTGTTTGCAGAGATGGAAATAGCTGTGGGAAGAGCAGGGTTGAGGGGGAGACTTAGAGGTATTCCATTTGGAAGTCTGTTTTTGATGGAGCTACATTAAATCAGAAAAACAAAGCTCATGCAGGCAGATGGGGCGGGGCACCTGCTGACAAAAATTGTCATATGCCAATTTCACAAAAATCGTGAGATGGACAAGCCTGTGGATTGGAGGAAACCTGGAATCATGTTAGAAAGAGAGGCGCTGTGGGGGAGTGGGGAAGCCAGGGAGGGGGGCAGGGAACCAGGAAGGACATCATAGGTGAGTAACAGAGAGACGACACTTCTGCCTGACGCCCCAGGACCTCGAGCCTGACTGTTCCCCTCACGCTCCATGTGGTCCACGTGGGGCCTTTGTGTTTCCAATTCTCTCTTGCTGGAATGTTCTCCCCCCAGAACATGGCATGGCTCAGCCTCTGTCTTCATTCAGGTCTCTGCTCACCTGCCCCTTGTCAGAGCATCCGTGAGCATCACTTGTGAAACAGCGCCTCTTCTATTCCATTCTACCCTTTATCATCTTGCCCAGCTCCCCGTTTCTTTACAACACGTATTGCCACCTGACATATGTGATTTACCTGTTTCTCCTCTGAACAGCCCCCCCCACTATAATGTAAACTCCATGAGAGCAGGGGCTCCCCATTGCCAAGAGCAGTCCCCAGCACATCACAGAAGTCGATAAATATTCCCAGATGGAACAAATGTACGAGCTCTACTGAGCTAGAAAATCAAGGTGAAATCCTGAACTGTGTCCTCACTTGCGTGTATTGAGAACTGAGATTTCTCTGCCTTTTCCTCCCTCCCTCCTAAACAATGCTTCTGAATGTTTACGCCTTTGTTCTCCTGTCACTCTTTTAGGGGTGCAGCAAACTGACGCGACCTTGAGGTTCAGATATAACCGGCAGAGTATGACTTTGTCCAGTGAAATCCTAATCCCAGATTTTGATGTTGAACTCGGGACCATCCTCAGGGTTCGTGATGAATCAGCCGAAGGAAAAAAATCTTATAAGCTCATCCTGGACATTCAGAACAATAAGATCACTGAGGTCACACTCACCGGCCACGTAAGGTAAGGAAGGTGCAAGGTGATGTGATCTGAGTGCAGGGCAGAGAGAGAGCCCCCCACATCCTGCCCCTCAGCACATGGCCAGAATCTCCCTACCATTCCCTGGCCACTTGCCACTCATCAGGCACAGTCAGGTGCTTTAAAGAAATGATCTCAGTCCTCAAAGCAAACTGCACAGCACGTTCAAGTTTCCCTGTCTTATATTGTGTTGTCGGAAAAGCCATGATGCTTTTTTTTTTCCCTCTGTTTCCCCAACAACCCAGTAGATAAGGAAATGGTAGCTCAGCAGGGCTCATTAATTTGGCCAAGGCAACAGCACCCGTTAATGGTAGAATAGGATGGAAACAGTTTTCAAACACCTTTTCGTTCTCCTGTATCTCTCTGGAAAGACCTGACTTTGTACTGGAGGAGGCTTTAGAAGCTAATGAGTTTATCTAAGGCCACTCCTCTAAGCCATTTGTGTATCTCATTTTTACCACCACCAATGGAACTTCCGTTTAATCTTCATCTTTCCTTGGAATGGACAAAATCATTGATGTTTATGGCTGATTTTCATTTTAATAGCTGTGACAAGAACGAAGAAGGCAAAATCAAAGGTGTCATCTCCATACCCCGTCTGCAAGCAGAAGCCAGAAGTGAGGTCCACACCTTGTGGTCTCCCACAAAACTGCTGCTCCAAATGGACTCATCTGCCACAGCTTATGGCTCAACAATCGCCAAGAAGCTGACGTGGCATTACGGTGGGTAACTCAGCCCCACGAGCACTTCCAGGGTGCTTAAGTGCAGGGCTCAGGGCCTTGGCTGGGGCTGACCTGGCCTCTGACCTCTCTTGCACATGTGCCTTTTCAGATGAAGAGAAGATTGAATTTGAATGGAACACAGGTACCAACGTGGATACCAAAAAAGTGGCCTCCAATTTCCCCGTGGACCTCTCTGATTACCCCAAAAGCTTGCATAAGTACACCAACAGTCTTTTGGATCGCAGGGTTCCTCAAACAGACATGACTTTCCGGCACATGGGCTCCAAATTAATAGTTGTAAGTACAAATCAGGCAGTCAATAAATGCCTGGTTATAAGTGCTAATCACATGCTCAGCTCAGATTTGGTGAAGGAGGTGGGCTACAGCATGGACCCACCCCCAGGGAATTCCTGGCGGGAAAAGACACATTCATGCGTGCACAGCCAGCCAGTTACAAGGCCGGATGTGATAGCTGTCAGATGATTCCTGCTAAGAGGAAGTTTGCTGGTCCCAGGTTATCAAAGGGAGCGTCAGGGCACTGAGTAGGGGGTTGGCTCCTGTTAGATATTCCTTTTATAGCATGCAAGAAGAGATCAATGACTGGCAACCCAAGTTCATAAGTCCCCGTGATTTTTAATTTTTAGCATGTCATTCTGTTTATCACGTGATCTGTCAAATACGAATTCCCAACAATTATTCATTGTTCTTTGAGACCCACCTCTGCCTGTTGCTCTGAAGACATCTGTCATTTTGTAGGCAGCAAACACGTGGCTTGAGAGCACATCCAGAAATCTTCCATATGCCCAAAATTTGCAAGATCACTTCAATGGCCTAAGAGAGCTGTACCTCCAAAGGATGGGTTCCCCAGAATTCCGCATCCCAGAAAACCTCTTCTTGAAAAGGTAAAACGAGAAAAAATGTCTTGAGCCATGCAAAATAAATGGAAGGTTTTGCTTAGCATGATTTAAGCTTTCTTCATATTGTAAGGGACATGCTAAGAGAGATGAATACCTGTAGCATAAATACTGCGGCATTTTTGCATTAATAATCATGAGGTAATAATATGAACACCAAGAAGGTAATACCAAGAAAGAACCTAAGAAGGTAATTGGGGGGTTCTGGCACTTTCACCCTGAGGTGCTTTATCTACCACAACCTGAATTTGAAAGCCATTCTGTTTTCCTCCTTTATAAGCAGGCCCCCTCCTTGTTTGGGATCAGGATATGCTCCTGTTTGTGAAGGGTCTGGGACTGGCTAAAGGAGTTGTTGGCTCCAGGTTTGGGTCAAGCTCTCGAGGATCCAAACAGCCAGTGGGCCCTGGATGATGGGGGAGCCCTCAGAGAGGCGTGTGGCTTCATGCTTGAGGGGAAGTCGGGTTCCAAGCTGTTCATCCACTTCTACATTTACAGAAATGCAAAATGCTTTATTTCATGAAAATTGAAAAAAAAAAAAAAAAAGACCATGAGCTGAGAAGACGGCTGTTGTTTCAGGATGGTTTTCTGTATTATCTTCAGGGTTAAGAACACAAGTGGCCTGTGCCGCATGGCTTGCCAAAGATTAATTAGCCAAATAAGTGTCATAGGGATGAAATCTACCGATTTCATATGGGCAAAGCCTACTTAGATGAGAGAAAAGGATGGCAGCTTCAGGGGACCCAGGAACCTCCTCACTATGGTGCTTCTCTGCGCCATGCTGAAGAGGCTCAGGATCTTAGCACTGAGTAGGGCTGCATCAGTCTCAGGATCCAGGGTAGGAAGCACCTAGTCCCTGGCAGTCAGGAGCAGATTATTTGCTTACACGTGTACTCTGCCATCCCCCTTCATGCTTGGGTTATCCTAATAGCCTCTTCTTTGGGCACAGTACTGAATAGACCACACAGGGCTTTTAGCGATTTTTTTTCTCACTTATTATCCAAGGTCAGCTCGATGAGGCCAGCAGAAAAGGAACCAGGATCCTTATACACAGATAACATCACTGAGTCTCAGAGAGGCAAATCACTAATTGGTATCTGTGGAAACTCAGGCTGTAACCCAAGATTACAGACTCCCACAAACTATGTTCTTTCTGCACATCAAGTGGCCTCATTTTAATTTAGTGAATATGTGGCGAGTGTCCCTGATGGGCAACTGGATGAGTTGCGGTGCAAAGATAAAAACCAGATAAGGTATAAACCTTTCTCCAGAAAGGATTCTCCATGTGGACACTGACAAATGAGCAAATAAATGCTAATTATATAAGCAGGATTATGACATGCTCTTTGAGGCAGGTATAAGGTACTGTATTGCTCTAAGAGCAGGGAAAATTAACTGTGACTTAGATGGGACAGTAAAGGAAGAAGCAGCTCTTGAAGGACTTTGAATGAATTTGGGTGTTTGGTGAGTGGAGGTAAAAGCAAAGGTTTCCAGGCACGGAAGGAGGAAAGGTGCCACATGGGTTTGGAAACAGGGCACGTGCACTAGCGCCTGCAAGGCAGAGACTTTTAGTTCCTAATGTCTGACAGTGGAGACATCATCTCTGTTTTTCCTTTCAGTGATGGCCGGGTTAAATACAGCTTGAACAAGAACAATTTGAAAATTGAAATCCCTGTGCCTTTCGGTGGCAAGACCTCCAAAGATCTAAAGATGATAGAGACTATTCGAACACCAGCCCTCAACCTCAAGGCTGTGGGACTCCACGTGCCATCTCGAGAGTTCCAAGTCCCCACGTTCACCATTCCCAAGTTGTATCAGCTGCGGTTACCTCTCTTGGGTGTTCTAGACCTCTCCACAAATATCTACAGCAATGTGTACAATTGGTCTGCTTCCTACACTGGTGGCAACACCAGCACAAACCTCTTGAGGCTGCGGTCTCAGTACCACATGAAGGCCAGCTCCATAGTGGACCTGTTCTCCTACAGCGTGCAAGGTGAACATGGCTGGGGGGAGAGACCGCACAGGGCTAATTAATCACGGGCTAGAGTGGGATAGCCTCTTGGAGGAAAAGACTTGAGCTTACAGATATTTTCATTCATTTATTCAACTAATTAAAATATTAAATATATAATATGTTATCAAATATTTCACCAGGCAATAGCAAAGACAGCAGGGTGAGAGGTGCTATGACAGGTGTAGTGGAGCATTTGCTAAGGGAACCCAACAAGACTTCCTGGAGGAATGCCTTTTGCTATCAGATGTTATGCTTGGGTTATAGATGGAGGGAATTTTTGCATAACCGATCCAGATCAATGGTACTTTAATTTTGGAAGATGTTCTGCCTAGAAATTTCTGGAAATGTATTACTTAACATAACCAATGTGTTCTAATTTTTATGTTAGGATCTGGAGAGACAACGTATGACCAGAGGAATATATTCACATTATCATGTGATGGCTCTCTAAACCACAAACTTGTGCATTCAAATATCCAATTGAGACATGTAGCAACATTTGGAAGCAATCCAGCTGCAATAGGTGTGCTGATGTTTGACGCCTACAGTCCTTGGGGACCACAGATGTCTGCTTCTGTGCATTTGGACTCAAGAAAGAAACAGCACTTGTATGTCAAGGAAGTCAAGGTTGATGGGAAGTTCAGAATCTCTTCGTTCTATGGTCAAGGCACATATGGCCTATCCTATCACCGGGATCCTGCCACCGGCCAACTTAATGGAGAGTCCAGCCTGATGTTTAACTCCTCCTACATTCAGGGCTCCAACCAGATAACAGGAAAATACCAAGATGGAACCTTCTCTGTCACCTCCACCTTGGATATGCAAGATGGCGTCATTAAAAATACTGCTTCCCTGAAATATGAGAACTATAAGCTGGCTCTGAAATCTGACACCAATGGAAAGTATGAGGACTTTGTCACTTCTAACAAGGTGGATCTGATCTTCTCTAAGGAAAATGCACTGCTACGTTCTGAATATCAGGCTGACTACAAGTTGCTGAGATTCCTCACCGTGATTTCTGGATCACTCAATTCCCGTGGTCTTGAATTAAACGCTGACAGCTCTGGCACTGATGGAATTCACAGTGGTGCTCACAAAGCAACCCTAAGGATTGGACAAGATGGAATGTCCACCAGTGCAACTACCAACTTGAGGTTCAGTCCCCTGGTGATAGAGAATGAACTGGATGCTGCCCTGGGTCTCTCTGGGGCGCTGATGCTATTAACTACGAATGGCCGCTTCAGGGAACACAATGCACAATTCCGTCTGGATGGAAAAGCCTCCCTCACAGAGATGTCCTTGGGAAGTGCTTTTCAGGCCATGGTCCTGGGTGTCAATGGCAAAAATATCTTCAACTTCAAAATCAATGGGGAGGGACTTAAGCTATCCAGTGACATGATGGGCTCCTATGCTGCAATGACTTTTGACTACACAAACCACCTAAACGTGGCCGGGCTGTCGCTGGACTTCTCCTCCAAACTCGACAACACTTACAGCACTGACAAGTTTTACAAGCAAAGTTTTAATTTGCAGCTTCAGCCCTTTTTGCTTGTGACTGCTTTAAACAATGACCTGAAATTCAATACTCTAACTGTGACCAACCACGGGAAAGCACGACTCGAACCTCTGAAGCTGAATGTGGGCGGGAACATTAAAGGAACATACCAAGATGATGAAATAAAGCACATCTACTCCATTTCTTATGCTGACTTAACAGCTAGTTGTAAAGCAGACACTCTGGCGAAGGTACAGGGGGCAGAGCTCAGCCATCGGCTCAACACAGAAATCTCTGGGCTGGCATCAGCGATCGACATTAGTACAAACTATGATTCAGACTCACTGCATTTCAGCAATGCTTTCCGCTCTGTCATGGCCCCATTCACCATGACTGTGGATGCGCATACGAGTGCTGACGGGAAACTAGGTCTCTGGGGAGATCACACCGGGCAGCTGTACAACAAATTCCAGTGGAAAGCTGAACCTCTGGCCCTTACTTTCACTCATGATTACAAAGGATCCACAAGCCACCATCTCCTGTCCAAGAGGAGCATCAATGCTGCACTTGATCATAAAGTCAATGTCCTGCTCACTCCAGCTGAGCAGATCAGCACCTGGAAAGTAAAGACCCAGTTGAACAAAAATGAATACAGCCAGGACTGGGATGCTTACAATACAAAAGACAAAGTGGGTGTTGAGCTTAATGGACAAGGCCTGGCTGACCTCAGCGTGCTGGACACACCCATTCAAGTGCCATTTTTGTTCAGTGAGCCCATCAATATCATCGATGTCTTGTCGATGAGGGACACTGTTGACCAGCCCCAAAAATTCACAATCGTTGCTTCCGTAAAATATGATAAGAATCAAGCTGTGCACACCATCAACCTCCCATTCTTTAAAATCCTGCCAGCATATTTTGAGAAGAATAGATTAATAATCATAGCGGCACTGGAAAGCATACAGAAAGAATTAAAACTCATCAATATTGATCAGTTTACGAGGAACTACAGAGAGGCTTTGGACAAACTCCCACAGCAAGTGAATGATTATGTGAAGGCATACAATTGGGAGAGACAAGTTTTAAGTGCCAAGGAGAAACTAAATGCTTTCACAAAAAATTACAGAATTACAGGAAATGATCTACAAATTGCCTTGAACAATGCCCAAATCAACTTTAATGAAATACTATATCAACTACAAGTATATGTGATACAATTTGATCAGTATATTAAAGCTAATTATGATTTACATGATTTTAAAATAGCTATTGCTAAGATGATTGAGCGAATCATTGAGAAATTGAAAATTCTTGATGAACATTATCATGTCCGTGTGAATTTAGTCAAAACAATTCATGATCTATCTTTGTTTATCAAAAAGATTGATTTAAACAAAATTGGAAGTAGCACTGCCTCTTGGGTTCAAAATATGGATGCTAAGTATCAAATCAGAATCCAGATACAAGAAATATTACAACAGCTCAAGACACAGATTCAGAACATAGACTTCCAGCACCTTGCTGAAAAGTTAAAGCAACAGATAGATGCTATTAATGTCACAGTGCTTTTGGATCGTTTGAGAACTACAATTCCATTTCAAAAAATAAAGGAAATTATTGGGCATGTCAAATACTGTGTTGAACGTCTTATTGAAGATGTTAAAGTTAATGAGAAAATCAGTGCTTTTAGAACGATAGCCCATGATTTTATTAAGTCATATGAACTAGATCGACACATGCAGGTTTTAATGGATAAATTAGCACAGTTGGTCCACCAATTTAAGTTGACAGAGACTGTTCAAAAGCTAAGCAATGTCCTACAACAAGTTGAGATAAAAGTGTACTTTGAGAAATTGTCTGGGTTTATTGATGATGCTGTCCAGCAGCTTAAAGCATTGTCATTTCAAACATTCATTGAAGAAGTAAACAGATTCCTTGACATGTTGGTAAAGAAATTAAGGTCTTTTGATTACCACCAGTTTGTAGATGAAACCAATAACAAAATTCGCCTGGTGACTCAGAGAATCAATGGTGAAATCCAGGCTCTGGAACTTCCCCAGAAAGCTAAAGCCCTAAAACTGTTTATGGAGGACATCCAGGACATGGTCTCAGTCCATCTGGAAAACCTCAAAGACATCAAAATAACCTTACTCTTCAACTGGTTACAGGAGGCTTTAAATTCACCACCTTTGATTTACATGCAGGAAAAATTCCAAGAGGTCCTAGAAGATATACGAGACCGAGTGTATCAAATGGACATTCAGCAGGAAATCCAGCGGTACCTGTCCCTGATCGGCCAGGTTTATAGCACTCTGGTCACTTACATTTCGGATTGGTGGAGTCTTGCTGCTAAGAACCTTACTGACTTTGCAGAACAGTATTATGTCCAAGCCTGGGCCAGAGACCTGAAAGCCTTGGTAGAACAAGGGTTTACTGTTCCCGAAATTCAGACCACCTTTGGGACTATGCCTGCCTTTAAAGTCAGTCTCCGTGCTCTTCAAGAAGCTACATATCAGACTCCTGACTTCATAGTCCCCCTGACAGATCTAAAGATTCCATCTTTTCAGATAAACTTCAAAAAGTTGAAAGATATAAAAATCCCATCCAAGTTTTCCACACCGGAATTTACTATCCTCAATACCTTCCATGTTCCTTCCTTTACAATTGACTTTGTAGAGATAAAAGCAAAGATCATCAGAACCATTGACCAAATGCTGTACAGTGAGCTACAGTGGCCAGTTCCAGAAGTATACCTAAGGGATCTGAAGGGAGTGGACACTGTTCTGGCTAGAATCACTCTACCAGACTTCCATTTACCAGAAATCACAGTTCCAGAATTCCTAATACCAAATCTTGACCTCAAAGATTTTCATGTTCCAGATCTTCACATACCAGAATTCCAGCTTCCCCACATTTCAGACACAATTGAAGTACCTACTTTTGGCAAGCTGAATGGCATTATGAAAATCCAGTCTTCCCTTTTCACATTAGATGCAAATGCAAAGATTCAGAATGTAACTTCTTCAGAGATGGCAGCTTCCATCACTGTCAAAGGAGAGTCCAAACTAGAAGTTCTCAATTTTGATTTTCAAGCACATGCACAACTTTTAAACCCAAAGATTAACCCACTGTTTCTGAAGGAGTCCATGAAGTTCTCCAGCAAGTACCTGGAGACGGAGCATGACAGTCAAGTGCTCTATCTGGGAAATGCTATTGAGGGGAAATCGAGCACAATGGCTCAGTTACACACAGAAAAAAATACACTGGAGTTGAGAAATGGCTTGCTTGTCAAGGTTAACGATCAGCTTACCCTGGACAGCAACACAAAGTACTCCCACAAATTGAACATCCCCAAACTGGAGTTCTCCAGTCAGGCTGACCTGCTCCATGAAACCAAGACCCTGTTGGAAGCTGGACACGTAGCATGGACTTCTTCTGGAATAGGTTCATGGAAATGGACCTGCCCCAAGTTCTCAGATGAGGGAAACCATGAATCACATATCAGCTTTACCATGGGCGGACCCCTCACTTCCTTTGGGTTGTCTAATAAGATCAACAGCAAGCAACTTAAAGTAAACCAAAACTTGGTTTATGAATCTGGCTTCCTTAACTTTTCTAAATTTGAAATCCAGTCACAAGTCGAATGCCAGTATGTTGGGCGCAGTGTCCTTACTGCCAGAGGCACAGCACGGCTGGGAGAAAGGAAGGCAGAGATAACGGGCAACCACACTGCTCATTTAAATGGAAAAGTTATTGGAATTTTGAAAAATTCTCTTTTCTTTTCAGCACAGCCATTTGAGATCACTGCAACCACAAACAATGAAGGGAATTTGAAAGTAAGTTTTCCATTGAAATTGACAGGAAAGATAGACTTCCTGAATAACTATGCACTCCTTCTGAATCCAAGTGCCCAACAAGCCAGTTGGCAAGCAAGTGCCAGGTTCAATCAGTATAAATACTATCAAGATTTATCTGCTGGTAACAATGAGAACAATATTGAGGCCCACGTAGGAATAAATGGAGAAGCCAACCTGGATTTCTTAAACATTCCTTTAACAATTCCTGAAATGACTCTACCTTACACATCACTCACAACTCCCCCAGTGAAAGATTTCTCCATATGGGAAAAAACAGGCTTGAAGGAATTTTTGAGAACAACAAAGCAGTCATTTGATTTAAGTGTAAAGACTCAGTACAAGAAAAACAAAGACAAGCATTCCATCTCCATTCCTTTGGATGCGTTTTATGTGTTTATGAATCATAACATCAATTCTTTCATCAGGCAATTTGAGAAAGGCAGACATCAGGCTTTAGTTTCTTTTACCAATGCCTATAATGAAGCAAAAATCAAGTTTGATAAGTACAAGGTTGAAAAGTCCCTCAATAACCAACCCAGGATCTTTCAAATTCCTGGATACACTATTCCACTCTTCAACATTGAAGCTTCTCCATCAATGGTAAAGATGTTACCATTTGGCTATGTGATCCCCGAAGAGATAAGCACCCCCAGTTTCACCATCTGGGGTTCTGACTTCTATGTGCCCTCCTATACGTTAGTCCTGCCATCCCTAGAGCTCCCAGCCCTTCCTGTCCCTACAAGCCCTCTTGAGTTTTCTCTTCCAGAATTCAAGATATTGAGTACCCCAAGGAACATCTTAATTCCTGCCCTGGGCAATATTACCTATGATTTTTCGTTTAAATCAAGTGTCATCACACTGAATACCAATGCTGAACTTTATAACCAATCAGACATTGTTGTTCATTTCCTTAGTTCCTCTTCTTCTGTCGTGGATGCTCTGCAGTACAAGCTAGAGGGCACCTCCAGTTTGACGAGGAAAAGAGGGCTGAAGTTAGCCACAGCCTTGTCTCTGAGTAATGAATTCGTGGGAGGCAGTCATAACAGTACCATTAGCTTAACAAAAAAAAACTTGGAAGCATCAGTGACAACAATCGCAAAAGTTCAAATTTCAATTTTGAATATGAATTTCAGTCAGACACTTAATGGGAATACCAAGTCAAGGCCTACTGTCTCTTCATCCATTGAATTAAAGTACGATTTCAATTCCCCCAGTCTGGACTCTACTGCTGCAGGAGAAGTTGACCACAAGCTCAGATTAGAAAGCCTCACCTCTTACTTTTCCATTGAATCATCTAACAAAGGAAATATCAAGGGCTCAGTCCTTTCACAGAAATATTCAGGAATGCTTGCCAATGAGGCCAGCACTTACTTGAATTCCAAGGGCACTCGGTCCTCATTGAAGCTGCAAGGGGCTTCCAAAGTTGATGGCATCTGGAACCTTGAAGTAAAAGAAAATTTTGCTGGAGAAGCCACCCTCCAACGCATATATGCCATCTGGGAGCACAATACCAAAAACCACTTACAGCTGACGGGTCTCTTTTTAACATCCGGAGAGCAGTCAGGCAAAACCACCCTGGAACTCTCCCCTTGGGAAATGTCAGCCCTTGTTCAGGTTCATGCGAGTCAGCCCAATTCTTTCCTTGATATCAACTACCTTGGCCAGGAATTGTCCCTGAATGCTAACACTGAGAACCAGAAGGTCAGCTGGAAAAGTGAGGCCCAGGTTCATTCTGGAGCTCTCCACAACAGTGTACAGCTTTCCAATGACCAAGAAGAGGTTCGCCTTGACATTGCAGGCTCCTTAGAAGGGTACCTACAGTTACTCAAAGATATTGTGCTACCAGTTTATGACAAGAGTTTATGGGACCTCCTAAAGCTGGATGTAACCACCAGCATCGACAGGAAGCAGTATCTCCGTGCATCAACTGCGCTTGTGTACACCAAAACCCCCAACGGCTATGCTTTCTCTGTCCCTGTGCAAGAACTGGCTGATAAATTCATTGTTCCCGGACTAAATAATCTAAAGTTAGTTCTTGCCACACCTGCATTCCAAGTCCCATTTACAGATCTTCAGCTTCCATCCTACACACTTGACCTCAGTGAAATAAAAATCTACAAGAAGTTAAGTACTTTACCATTTACTCTCAACTTACCAACACTACCCAAGGTGAAATTTCCCAGAGTTGATGTGTTAACAAAATATTCTGAACCAGAAGTCTCCTCAGTTCCCTTTTTTGAGGTAACTGTGCCTGAATCCCAGTTAACTGTGTCCCAGTTCACCTTTCCAAAAAGTATTTCAGTTGGCTCTGTGGTTTGGGATCTAAATGAGGCAGCCAAAGAGATTGCAGACTTCGAGTTGCCAACCACCATCATGTCCGAGCAGACTATTGAGATTCCTTCCATTAAGTTCTCTGTACCTGCTGGAATTTTTGTTCCTTCCTTTGGAAAACTAAGTGCCCATTTTGGGGTGGCCTCTCCCTTGTATAATGCCACTTGGAGTGCTGGTTTGAAAAGCAAAGTAGATCATATGGAAACATTCCTGGAATCCACGTGCAGCTCAACCATCCAGTTCCTGGAATATGACCTCCATGGTAAGGAAATGTCCTGACCCCTCTTCTAGATGTGACATGTTTTCAGTGAGAATTGTGAGTAAATAATTCTGTATTTAGACATGACTAGAGGTATAATTATTCTATACAGCAAAATTTAAAGGAAGAGGGAGGAGATACATATTGATTTCTATACCCATGTAAAAACCAACCTGTAGAGAGCCTATTGACATTCAAGAGGAATAGTTTCAAAAAAAATATTTTTCTGTAATTATTTTAGGATCAATAACATCTCCTTCTAGCTATGTATTTAAAGAAATTGTGGACTGCATGTTTCAAACCTTTAAGACTTTTAGTTATGATATAACTCTTCTAGTTTTCACCATGAAATTGCGGATGTCCTATTGTTATTAATCCAATGAAATCTATAACCTCTCCTACACAGTTGTGGGAACACACCAAATTGAAGAAGGTGCATTAGTGTGTAAGACCAAAGGAACGTTTGCCCACCGTGACATCAATGCAGAATATAAAGAAGATGGCAGATATCAAGGACTTCTGTATGGAAGTTTTATTGATATTTCTTTCTTTCCCCTAATAATTGTGATTTTTGCCATCTCTACAGCCTTTCATGATGACTTTCTCCTTTCAGGAACTGGGCGGGAGAGGTCCGTTTTGATACCAACAGTACTGCATTCACTGATGTCCATCTGCGCTACCACAGAGATGTGGGTAGTAGATCCTCCTCTGCAGTCGTAGGCGCTGTGGCCATGGACTTGGAAGTCAATGACGCTACCTTAAAATGGAATGTCTACCACCACCCTCAGGTGCGTCTCATCTGATGGATTGTACGCCCCAAGAGCATGTAGAAAATGTGTTCAGATAAATTTAACTCAATAGAAAATATTCTTTCAGGGCTTTCTCAGTTTAGGTGAAACATAAGCAATGAGCTGGATGAACTTCTCTAAGAAATTGTTCTCTAGGGCCTCCCCCATGGCGCAGTAGGTTGAGCATCATGCTGTGAAGCTGTCCACAGCCTCGACAGTGCAGATTTGATCCCGGCCGGCTGGCGAGAATCCCAAATGGTGCCGCAGACTTCTCCTGTCGTGCCTGCTGCTTGCCTCAGTAGTGTATTTCTGTCATCTGCCTGTTCTGTTCCCCACTCTGTCTCTGGTGAATCCTCTCACCCTCCCACACCTCTGGCCTGTACCCCAGCTCTTGTATAAAAACAAATAAATCTTTCAAAAAAAAAAAAAGAAATCATTCTCTAGAAAGTACTCTGGGTCATTTGCAGATTTTAATTATTATTAAAGCTGTCATTAAAATTGGCAGATTTTGATTATTAATTGTGGACAGAGCTAGAAAGATGAGGGTTATGCCTCATCACCTAAATCAGGGGCAAATTCTGCTAACTGCTAAGAATATCTTTAGTTTGTGGTTTTGGAAGCATTTGAGGCTTCAAAATTCTTCCCCATGATGGAACTGGAGATTTGCCAAATTTCTCATTTACTTCAGCTCTACCAGGACCAAACCATAGATGGCATTAGTAGAGAAGAAGTAATCATGTTCTCTCACTAAAGCCTGTCATAAGCTTGGAGAATGAATGGCTTCTAACATTGGCATTCTAGGTCTCTCCTGAATACTTTATCCTTTTTTGCTGTTTCTTCTTTCTCTGAATTAGTCTTTTCATATTTCTTTCTCCCTTTCTCTTCTTCCTTTTCCTCCTTCTGCTCCTCCTCCCACTTTTTTGATCTTCAGTCCTAGGAAGGCCTCACGTTAAGTGTTACTATGCAAATGCCATGGGTAAGTTTACACTTTGGGACATATGATAAAGAGCACATTACAGTAGACTTGTGTAGCCATAAAACAGACATGTGAAATAACATAGGAAATATAAATCCCCTTCAGAATATGAAAGATCCTCTCTGATATTTACTTTCAACTGCTAGTGAAGTTTTAGTGTACTGTGTTATATAATCAGGACTATTGAGAACATTCTTTTTGTCCTTTTTTTTTTCTGGTTAGTTCTCTCCAGATAAAACACTCAATATAGTCAAAGCTGAGATGAAGTACCAAGAATCTGAACAATCTCAGATCAAAGTGAACTGGGAAGAAGCTTCCAAATTGCTAAACTCTCTTGGACACAACATGTCCAAGGCCACAGGGGCCCTTTTTGACCATATTGACAAGTACTACGAGGAGTACACGGGACTCGCCCTCAGAGATGCTTCTTTAAAGCTGAGAAGAAGCCTGCAGAACAGTGCTGAGTGGGCCTATCAAGGGGCCATGAGGCACATTGATGACATGGACGCGAGGCTCTGGAGGGTGGCCAGAAGCACCTCTAGAACCTACCAGCAGTGGAAGGATGAGGCCCAGAGTCTGTACCAGGAAGTGTGGCCTCAGGAGGGCCGAGTTGATTTCCAGAGAATCCATGATAAGGTATTTGACAGCTTAGTAAGAGTTATTCAGGAATATAATATGATAGTCAAGCATCTGATTGACTGGTTCATTGATTACCTGAAGTTCACCAGATACCAGCTCCCAGGAAGAGCAGGCACGTTTTCAGGAGATGAGCTCTTCACTGTGGTCATGAGAAAAATAGGGCAGGTACTGTCCCAGGTACATTCAAAAATCTATAGTGGATTAGAAATAATGTTTTCCCATTTCCACAACCTGATAGAGAAATCTGAATTAATTAAGTACCTAAGAGTTAAATTTGTTTTTACAAGCCGTGAACTGATAGATGTAAGCTATCAGTTGCAGAAGCTATCAAAATCTTTATCACAAAGTGTCCAAATAGCACTGAATGACATCCAGCTTATCAAGACTACAGAGATGTTGAATAATCTTCAGAGATTTTTGCAGCGCATTTTCCAAAAGATAGAAGGAGAAATTAAACACTTGAAGGAGAAGAAATTTACTTATCTCATTAATGCTATCCAAAAGGAGAACAACATCATCTTCCACAAATATATTCCATATGTGCTTGAATTCATGAAAGAAAACCTATCTCTGACCTTTGATACGGTTAATGAACTTATTCAAAACAAACTTCAGGAAGCTTCTCAAGAGTTACAGAGGCTCCTTGAGCTCATAGAGTCTCGCCGCAAAGAACATGTTGATCCACGTATGGTGAGCTGGACAGTGAAATATTATGAACTCGAAGAAAAGATCATCAGCCTGATCAAGAACATGGTAGATGTCCTGAAGAATTTCCATTCCAAATACACCGCCAGTACTGCTAACTTTGCTTTCCAACTTTCAAGTCACATTGAGCAATTTGTGCAGAAAGATATCCAGGAATACCTTGGCATTCATCCTTACTGATCCAAGTGGAAAAGGGAAAGAGATTAAAGAGCTTTCTACCTCTGCTCAGGAAGTAATTAAAAACTGGGCTCTTGTAATGAAGGAAATCATTTCTGATAGCCACCAGCAGTTAGATAGAAACTATAGGACTTTTCAGACCAACTCTCTGATCCTCTGTTCACTATGAAAAATTCATTGCTGCATCTAAAAGATTGCTTGGGGCTTCCCCTGGTGGCACAGGTGGTTGAGCACAGCACTGTGAAGCTGTCCGCAGCCCCTGCAGTGCTGGTTCAATCCTGACTGGCCCGGGGAGGGTCCCACATGGTGCGGCAGACCTCTCCTGTCTTGCCTGTTGCTCCCCTCAGCAGTGTATTTCGTCAGTGTGCCTGTTCTGTTCCCCGCTCTGTCTCTGGTGAATCCTCTCACCTTCCCACGCATCTGGCCTCTACCCTGGTTCTTGTTTAAATAAACAAATTTTTAAAAAATAATAAAAGATTGCTTGACCTGTCCATTCAAACATAGCACATGTTTCTGAGCTATATCACTGAGTGACTGAAACAGGCACAATTGGCCACAGTCAATGACATGAGCTCCTACATAAAGGTCGCTCCAGGAGAATTTACCATCACCTTCTAATTTCTCATAGCAATTCTTACTTATTCTTCTGTTCCAGCTAAACTTTCAGTAGTAGGGGTAAATTCAAACCATATGGATTGATATGACCATACACTGAGCCAGCCCTGTAGCAGCCATCAGATGACAAGCAAAAGCCAGGTGAACTGGGCCTGCCTGAAACTGGCATCAAGTCTCTGAAGGTCTCTGAACTCTCAGAAATAACGTTTTTTGCAAGTTAAAGAAAATCAGGGTGTGAGTTACTGTCCTAAACTGTAGGAGGGGGGTGGAGAACAAATAAATGAATTCTTCACTGTGTCTCATACCACTCAATGTGACTAATTCATGTTGAAAGATAGCAAAATGATAGATTTAAAACCTCTAGAACACACACTGCATTTTGAGGGATGGAGTTAAAGGGGAAGGAAAAATTTAAGGAGGGAAATATTTTTCCACCTAAAAAAAGATCCCTGATCTCAGGGATTGTATTTGTCAAGTGAGAAAGGAACACTATTCACAAAATCTTTCACATAATTTGATCCTGAGGAACATCTTGTGTGTCTTCATCTGCCACATAATGCTCCTCACCAACCAGTCCATCTTTGCCAGGCAAAGCTCTCTGTTAGGCTCTGTGATAAACATACTGGTCCTTTATCACTAAGCTTTCCAGGTATGGAGAGGAATGGCTAGGAAGTCTAATAGCTGTGGGGACCCCAGAAATCTCTCTGCGGCTCAGCCAGAATCCATTCAAGGCAAAGGAGTAAAGATGGGAGAGGAGCATGAGGAGTTGAGTTCCTAACATTTCTGAGACTGAGCATACATTTATGTTCTTGAATTTCCCTATTTCTATGAATTTAATATCTAATAATCCCAAGTGTAACCAAACCCCAAAGGTTTCCCCTGCCACATCCTCTTACCTCAAGCTCTGATTTCATATGTTGGCAATGCCCAGTCAGGGCACCCAACTGAGTTCTGGAAGGGAGGGCGGCAGAGATTATACCTCAAAGCTGTCACTAATATCAGTGGGAAAGTTAGTTGCAATTTTCCTTTCAGTGGCATTGAGAACAAAGGAAGGGTGTGATTTGGGGGGGAAAGGAAATTGGAGATTGCACCCACCACATTCCTATGTGATTTCTGTTTTTAAAAGACCCCTTTCATTCAAAAATGCTTTCCCCAGACACCTTTATTTCATAAAGCTTTCACATTCTTTTAGTGACAATTACTGTTAAAATGTAAAAGCAATGTCTGGAAAAGAAAACATATTAGCCTATTGGTAACTTAATAGGATTCTTCTATGTGGAACTGAGGAGCCAGAGAGGTCCTAGGGAGGTGAAATACATGTAGTATAAGGATCTGGTACTCAAGGAAAGTCCATTGGATAATGGATGGATGGATGGATGGATGGATGGATGGATGGATGGATGGATGGATGGATGGATGGATGGAATGGTATGGATGGATAACTGAATGAGGGGGTAAATGAGGGGTCAGTTCTGAGGATGAGAAAAGGAAAACTAAGCTCAGGTCCCAGATTATCATGGAAGCGGTTCCTGGTATAGCTCTGTAAGAGCTTCATTCACAAGCTAAGATACCTAAAATTATGCCTTAATTTGAAAAAGGAGGAGTTCAAGTTTCCTGGTGCTCCTGTAATGAAAGCATCTTAAAGGAAGGATAAAATGGACACAAATTCAAAATGGTCATGTAATGACACAGTACCACCTCCCTGCCTTACACTATCTCTTTTACGAGGCACCCCTATATGGCTTAGAATATCTTCAATATGTTCAATAAATTTAGAAGAAGAAGAGATTCTTGGGAGTGTTGGTCTTTGCTTTCCCTCTAGTCTTTGCCGCACATCAGGACACTTCTCTGTTCAATTAATGGATACATTCCTTACTTGCTTGTAGCTTTGGGCAAATTTCTCTCCTCTGTGACCCTCATTTTTCTTATCTACAAATGAGGTTAATATCTATCCTGCCTACCTTGAAGGGCTGTTAATGAAAATCAGTTGAAATACTAGATGTGAAAGAATTTTGTGACCTTTAATATAGCATAAATAGAGTCTTTTGTTGTCACTTTTATTAGCTGAATATTTACATGAGTTTATGGCAAGGAGCGTGAATGCAAGCAGGGCGACCTATTCAATCCAATAAATATTTGTTTCTATGTGCTAAGCACAAGACTTATAGAGGAAATAAAGATCAGCAAAATGTAGTTCCTTGAAGTCTATCCAGCCGAGAATTGGAGAGACAAGAGCAAGAAGAGAATGAAGTTAACTACAATTGTGTCTATCAAAGATGAAATATGCTGTCTCTTTATGGGTATAAACAAACTAATATGTGGGTTTATATCAGAAAAGGATGAGAATCAAGGTGCTTTCATGGAAGAAGTTGAAATGAATCTTGAAATTACCTAGATTTTGACAAGAGATAAGGGGGAAGGGCATGTGGAAGAAGAGAAAGCTGAGCAAAGACCAATGGGTGGGTATGTTTGAAAGGCGCTGGATTATCTAGTGGCCAAAGTACAGAAAGAGCAGGACAGAGCTTGAAGGCAGTTCTGGTGGGATTACACAGTATGGGATTACACTGTATGGACTGATATAACCATACAATGAGCCAGCCCTGTAGCAGCCATCAGATGACAAGCAAAAGCCAGGTGAACTGGGCCTGCCTGAAACTGGCATCAAGTCTCTGAAGGTCTCTGAACTCTCAGAAATAACGTTTTTTGCAAGTTAAAGAAAATCAGGGTGAGAGCAAAATGAATGGTGATACGCTCTTTACTGGAAAAGGACATCCAATGAATGTTCTTGAGCATGAGGGTAATGTGAGTTGTGATTCAGGAAAATAGATGTGGCAGCTCATGCAGGAGAACTGGAATGGACTGAATCTGGACATAAGGTTGTACCAGGGTTAGTTGCAGATGCTGAGGGATGGTGTGGAGTGGTTGGGTACAAGAAACTGCAGGAAGACATAATCTACAGAACCAAGATGCTGATTGTTGAGAACAGAAGGGATGGCTGCAAACACCATTGGCAGTGGAGTTGCCTTAATCAGTCCCTGAAGCCAAGAATTGGAGAGACAAGAGCCAGAAGAGAATGAAGTTAACTACAATTGTGAAACTGAATCTGCGTAACTTGAAAAACTATAGAAACAGGCGAACTGTGCTTGGGGGGAGATTATGAATGTAACATTTATGTTCACAGACTATCACAGCTCGAAAGGAACTTTGGAATCACATGATGAGTTTCAAATTGCCGTGGTATGTCCAAGTAGAAATATTAGCAGGCAGTTAAGAAGAGGTCGACTATAGAAACAAAGGAATAGGAAAAAAGGATAATTTTAACCAGTTATTGTATTGATTTTAGGTCCTTATAAGTACCCTTAGAAACTTAAGAAAAGCTTTTCCTCTCGTACAATTAACTGGCCCATTGTCCTGAGAGTCAGGTGGCAGGTACATCTCCTAAGAACATTCTGTGAGATGACACAGATGACACAGATGCTCTGCTATAAACACAGACGCTCCTGCTGTAAAGCAAATATCCAAAGGTTAAAACCAAAGGGAAATGAAAGAAGAGAGCTCAGGCCAGGTCCCCTGAGCTTTGCAAGCAGCAAGCACGGCCGACTGTGCGCTCTCGTTCTGCTGCAGGGTCTGTCCGTGGCTAAGGGCAGGTCCCCAGAATCAGTCCAGCCGTAGGCCTGCGACGGGGGCCACCATTGGGTACATGTGGAGCTACCTCTGTTGTCTTTACTTTTCCCTGGAAAAGTAAAATTAGTTGAGGGGCCCAAACATCCTTTTATGGTGAGATGAACAGAGTCCCCCTGACTTCTTATTTGAGGGCCCTCTTCTGTCTGACTTATGACTTAGTCCCCATTCACTCAGAGAAGGGGCCAAGCTGGCCCTCAGAGGAGGCCTGAATATGGAGCCAGAGTGGACAAACAGATGTTCCCTCTAAAAGTGTCTAATAACCAGAGATGAATGTGCAGAGACAGACCCTACCTCTTACTCATCTTCTTGCCTTGCTGTTTCCCATTAAGAGGTCAGTGCCACCTCCCTTCAGAGCACCCCATTTGGTGGTGGGATGGCTGGGTGGCCACCAGCAAACAACATTCCAGGGACTCATACAGTTGGTGGGGTGGCTGCCCACATTTCTGTGAGAAGAGGACACTGCCGCCTCTTGCACAAACTGGCGTGGGCTCTCTCAGGTCTGGGCGGTGCGTCAGCTTAGTGATCTCGGGGCATTAAGCTCTGACCCTTGTGGCAATTTTGTACCCTTGACCGGCACCACTGAAGCCCAGTTTTGAGTGAGAGGAGTAACAGATCCTGGAGGTGGCTGGTCCCTGAGCTACCCAGACCCGCCTCCGCACCCTTGGTGTTAAGCAATGGCGAGAACCATAGCTCAACCACACGAGCACCAAAATTTAGTCTCTCAACTGGACACTGGCCTGAGGAAAGGTAGCTTGGTCAATAGCCCAGCTCCACCAACTCCCCCTGCTCTGCAAGTGAACTCTCCATCTCTTCTCCTGCACCCCATGAGATCCATACAGCCTGCTACTAGATCCCTAGAGAACGGGGGAAGGGGTCGGCGGGGGGCAGGACAGCTCCAGGGACCCTCAGGCCCCAGTGGCTGTATTAGAGCTGAGGTCAGTAGGATGTTTCCAGAATCACATGAGGAAATGGAGGGTCCTGACCAGGACAGCAGGGAGAGGGTGGAGTACCGCCTGCTGCCGTAGCTCTCCTGGGGCTACTGGGACTTCCCTCTTCTCCAAAAACTCAGCTCTGGGGCCAAATTCAAGCTTCACCATTCCTGAGTTACGTCACCTCAGGACAGTTACTG